CACACACACACACACACACACACACACACACACACACACACACACACACACACACACACACACACACACACACACACACACACACACACACACACACACACACACACACACACACACACACACACACACACACACACACACACACACACACACACACACACACACACACACACACACACACACACACACACACACACACACACACACTGGTTTTCATGTTTTATGAGGACATTCTATATACTTGTGTGGGCATTTGGACCCCATAACATAAGGGATACCAGGTACACACACACACACAAGATATACAATGAAAGAAAATGGGGAACAGTGTTGTTTTGGACCCCTTTGATTTTCATTGTATGGACAAACCATTCTTTAGAATATATTCTTTTGTGTTCAGCAAAGAAATGAAGTAAATGATGACAGAATTGTCATTTTTGCGACTATCCCTGTAATAGGAGTACATAACAATTTGATCTATAACTAAACTACAGTTTTGGCAGTATTCAAAGTAATTCTTTTCTCATTCATGTTAGGAATTCTTATATTTCATGTTAGAAATTCTGATATTTTTCTTTTATTATTTGTTATTTGCTCACAGGTTTAAAATAGATAATAATATGATTGCTAATTCGTTTTAAAATAAACGCATAGTTTCCTGTAGCTAAACTGGTAACAAATGCAAAAAATATGTTCCAAACAAGAATAAGTAAATAATGACAGAATTTTCATTTTTGAGGATAACTATAATGATTTGTGCAAAAAATAATTTGATTGATCAATTATGGTTGTTCATAATATTCAGTCAGTTTAATTATGTGCTTATTCATGTTAATTTAGTGATTATACGTTTTCTTTTTATCAATGTTATTTATTCATAGGTTTCACATTGTTACCATATTTCTGTGATTGTTAATTCTTTTGAATAAAATGCAAAAGCAACACCAGGGCCATGGGTTTGATTCGAGGGAATACTGTGAAAATGCATTGCTTTAATCCAGTGTCTGCCAGTATAAGTTTGTATCTGCATAGTTAGTTCCTCTGCTGTAAATATGTTAGTGGTAATTCAATGTGTAATGAGAAACCGTGTGGTGTGATTACTTTTTAATTCCAGTAACCAATGTTCAGAACAGACCCATTGTCTCTATTCCCTTCAAAACCATCCATCACCATGAGCAGCTACATCACTTAGCAAATTTGTTTTCGGGGCTGCCAAAACAAAGTTTGGACTGCTGACATGAGAAATGGAGCGGCAGCAGGGAATGAGAAGCCCTGGATTTATGCTAAATGACGTGATTCATACACTGAAAGACCTGACTGCCCTTTTCATTGCTGTGGAGGAGATAATGGCACAGCTGTGCACCTTTTTAAGTCACTTTTTCCCTCTCGTTCAATCCCACAATGCACAAGGACCCTTCAGCCTTGTGCAGATGGGAAGCATGAACGAGATGTAGTCAAGGTAACCATTATGTGAATGAATTAAGCTTAACGTAAGCTATAACTGGTTATACCTTTAATGTTTTCCAGGGCTGCTTACATGCACTGAATGATTCATTTGATATTTCTGCTCAACATTCATCACCTCCTTTGATGTGTGATGACAGCACTATTAAGTATGTGATAGAATTGACAGAGACATGCCTGTAGCTATTTTTAAACGCTACACTCCACAAGGGCTCACTGTATAGCTTCGAGTTCTGTAGGCATCATATTAGCACATAAAACTGTCAAACATTTGACCCAGGGAAGGATGTTTACAATATGCGTCTCATCAATGGCATGACCAAACTTGTGTATTTTGTGTACAAGGACAAAACCGTAAAGGTTGCAACATTACGTATCTTAGGAAGTGACATCATATGTTTGTCTAGAGAACAAGTCGCGGCTTTCTTGCCTATATAGTAAGTCAACAGAAAGTCTTTCAAACAGGCCTTTCGCTGAACCTTGACCCTGCTGACCCTGGCAGTTTTAGGATGACTGCTAACTTTTTAAGTTTTCTTTGAGGATGCTGAGCCTTAACTATACAGGTACATGCTGAATGAAAAGTTAGAAAGCTAAATTAAGGCTACTTTATTATATTTTTAAATAATGTTGATTTTATGTTCACTATATTTTGCTTATAGTACTGTATTCAGTACTTACATTTGCTAGATGTTACATCAGCCAAAAAAAAACTGGAATTCTAAAGTATTGTCATTTAGAAGTGTTAATATCTTTCTGTTCTTTTACTTTTGACTATTAGCAAAGACTGGACTTTGCTATTAGAAGAATGACATTCGCACAATGGATTGTGAGACTGACAGTGGCATGGAGCAAGTGCAAACAGAGCGTAAAAAGCCATTAATTCTATGCAAATGATTGGCGCAAACCCCTGGACGGAAGCCAGTGGTTCTGAGTTGCAGACTGTGACACAGTTTTTGGTGGATTTATTGTTTAAATAATATATTATTATATTCAGGATTTAAATGCTGAAAAGTGCTTTTATTGTGGCTGTATTAATATTAGTGTATTAAATTATTCATTGAAATAAAGGTTGTGTCTTTCCACCTAAAAACTTGACATTTAAAAACATTTTTTGGATGCCTCTTTGCGTCAGAAACGCCCCAAAGCAACAGACACGTGTGTAGCATTTTGAGCAGGATTGTTCCACGCTATTGGACACCCACCGTAACAACACTTGATCTTTAGCTGGAAAAAATAATGTCCTGTTATAATGTTATTATTAATCTTGCAATGACATTTAGTTTATGCTGAGGTTGCTGTTTTCCAAAGGATTGCCCCATATCATTAATACTTCGGAATGCTCTCGATGACCCTGTTCAGTAGTTTGTTGCAGTCAAAGTTGTGCAGTGTATATTGGCACTGCCTAGAGACTGAAGATATTACACATGGCATGTCCTTCCTGGAATCCTAGACAGCTGGGACAATGTGCTGACTGGGCTATGACTTTAAAATTTGGCCTTTGATTCATAGAAGAATAAAATCCCTCACTTTAATAAAATCCTTGCCTGTGTTTATTCAACTTATTTTATTGAAAAATTTTGCCAGGACGGCTAAGTGCAGCTCCAACCAAAGCTCACAAAAAGATTTCAAATGTCCAATATAAGCATAGTACAGAAACAGATGATTTAAAGGAAAAAGAGTCCGATGTAGCCACTATAAACAAGCATGGACAATTTGTTTTTGAATATTACTTTGCATGCACTGTATTTTAGTTACTATGTCCTACAACTATGATTTTCAATGAAAGATAAATTACGAATTCAAAGGTGAAAGTTGCCCAAAAAGCGGTAAAACAACATTTGAAAATCACAAAGGTAATGGAAAGGAAGAGCAATAACTGTTGAAAAGTCATCAATCTTAAAATCCCATTGGAGAGCATGACTGTTTGGAGCTTCCATACTGAGTGTGTGCTGAAAAAGCAAAACCATTAAATTGTTTCCTGAACCTCAGGAACATCCCTGTGGGGGAAGAAAAAGAGACAAGGGCTTTTCTTTTACGTCAAATGGCCTTAGAGAGTTGGCCCAGTTAAAGTTCGCTGCCACACATGTCAGAGACGTTGTTTGCAAAGGCCAGAGTTTAAGTGGAGATCTTTTCAGCTGCTCTTCTCCAGGCTGTGCTAAAGCGCTGGAATCACTGCTGAAGGTATGTGCTGTGAAAGACCACTCCAGCTGAAGACCCCTGCTCTCTTCAAACTGCAGGACTACATTCATAAGTATATGCCAAAATTGACTCTTCAATAGCCGTTATGTGTTTTTTTAATTATTAAATTAGAAAAAAAAAGTCTATTTTCATTAAGGGGTTTATTGAAAGATCTTTGTTGTTGATGCACTGCTGCATTTTTCAAAGTTTAGATGTTTACATGTATAATATATTTAAAGAATAGTGAGGGGATTTGGGTGTAATGTCTGTCAGTTTGTTTAAACCATGAGTTTTTGCAGTGTAACTCATCCTGCTCAAGCAAGTGATTTATTCTGTAAGGCAAGAGTACAATCATTCCCTGCTTTAATGAGAAATTTGATGTATACATTTATTTGTCGGCTGGACGATTCATATAATAATATTATAATGTTGTTATCAAATAGGCTTACTGAAGTGCGATATCAGTCCTCTATGAGGAAGTATTGGTATAACTGTCTTTTTTAATGTGTATTGTTTTGGTTTGTATTGTGTGTTTCTTGCTAATGGACCTTGAGTCTGGAAATAAAGTTGAATTGAATTAACCCTACTGTAACCCTTATTGTAAAAATTGTAGTTTAAAATATAAATGATAACTATAACTTTTATATATATCAATGTATTTAAATGCACTGGGTATGTGGCAATTTGATCATTTTTGCCTTTTAAACAGTTCACACAAAGATAAAAAATCAAAGTTGTATCACTATTTTCACCACTAAAGGATGCGTTTGGCAATTTTTGGGCAACTATAAAAGTTTAGGTAACACAACAAGTCATCTGCTTATTATATCGATATGTTGACATGTTTATTCGGTTACTATGGTCTAAAATGGTCTACAGGAATTGCAGGATTAAACTGTACTTAGCCTACACTTGAGTAGGGACTGTACCGTTCCTGAGCTTATTTTACTGGCTAATACAGTGAGCGATTGTTGACACTGAATTCTCTTTCCACAAATAAAGCACCTGTAGCCAACCAGACAGAAGGCAGATGATGAGTTTGGCCTGCGTTCAGCTGTTCTTTGCTGCCACGTTGTGGACACTGCCGTGCACCGCAACATCTGTGGCGGTGAGCAGCGCAACTCAGCTGCTTCATCTCAAAGACGCTTCTATGGAGGCCCTGCTGAGGAACAGCAGCGACACCAGCGCGCCTCGAACGCGGCGGAAACGCTTCATCTCCAGTAAAGATATGACGGCCATTCTGGACTATCACAACCGCGTGCGCTCACAGGTCTTCCCACCCGCGGGAAATATGGAATATATGGTAGGACATTTTTATTAGCTTTAGCCTACTACTTTTTAACATTAGGCTACTAATGTTTTATGGTCATCACATACACAACATAAAAAATATCATACTTTTTTCCCTGAATTTAACTTTTCAGGACAATCTAGTCGCTCTTTTCCATGCAATTACAATGCAAGGTGACTGAAAATCTCTAGCTCCAACAAGGGCTGAAGTTCACCATAAAAGTTTGATTGAGTATCATAAAAGTGGACTGTATGACTTTAAATAGCGCGTCTTCTTGACAGTATGTGATATCAATATTGTATTATAAGCCTATATTTAACAATCTTCACCTCAGTGAACTTAAGGGCCAGCGAATCATTTAGTTGAAATCGAGTCTGATTTGTGAACGAATCATTCAGATCAGTTTTAATTGAATCAACTAATTCATTAAAATGTGACCCTGGACCACAACACCAGTCTTAAGGGTCCATTTATATATCATCTGAAAGCTGGATAAATAAGCTTTCCATTATTGTTAGGATAGGACAATTATATTTGGCCGAGATGCAACTATTTAAAAATCTGGAATCGGAGGGTGCAAAGAAATCTAAATATTGAGAAATATTGAGAAAATCGCCTTTAAAGTTGAAGTTCTTAGCAATGCATATTACTAATCAAAAATTACTTTTTGATACATTTACTGTAGGAAATTTACAAAATATCTTCATGGAACATGATTTTTACTTAGCTAATATCCTAATGATTTTTGGCACAAAAGAAAAATCGATAATTTGGACCCATACAGTATTGTTGGCTATTACTACAAATCTACCCGTGCTACTTATGACTGGTTTTGTGGTCCAGGATCACAAATATCTAATTCAAAAGAATCATTGCTCATGATTCAGACATCGCTATGGCTTAGTAAAGCTGTAATATGTTAAATTAATGTCTGTTCCTCACAAAATCCATTTTGTATGGACAAAATTTATGATGATTTTTCTTCCTTTTTGTTGCTTATCATCTACATTTTCTAGTCACTGTCATTGCATGGGCTTTTTGGGTGAGCTATTTTTTTAATTATTTGTTTTTTTTGTCCTCTCTCTCCTTTGTGAGGTGTGGGATGAGAGACTGGCTAAATCTGCAGAGTCCTGGGCCGCTCAGTGCATTTGGGATCATGGACCGCCTCATGTTTTGCGACACATTGGACAGAACCTGTCCATCATCTCTGGAAGGTACAGACCCTTACAACCAGGGCCGTCCTTAGCTGACACGGGGCCCGGTGCGAGGGGGGGGTTCCCCCTCGGTCCGTTCACCGCAGGGCCCCCTCAAGCGAGGGGCCCGGTGCGACTGCACCAGTTGCACCTCCCTAAGGACGGCCCTGCTTACAACAACCTACTATATGGGTACAGTCATATATCAGCATGAATTAATATCCAAAAACCACGTCAGTTCTGGATCATATCTACACTTTCTATTCTGACTGTGATTGTTAATATTTCTTTCATTTTGCAGATACAGATCGATCATTGACCTGGTAAGATCCTGGTATGATGAAAGACACTATTTCTCCTACCCCAACAGATGCAGTGGCTCTGTCTGCACACACTACACTCAGGTGGGTCTCCAAAATTCATATAATATTAAATATTTTATATATAATAACATTATTTATAATAAAAAGTAATTTTTATTGTATTTTATTTTGTAATTAATAATTTATTTTTTTTGATTATCTATTTATATGAGTAAGTATATAAGTATTATATTTAATTTAATACAGACTCTTTTCAGAGATTTTTTTCAAGATATCTAGGATATTAATTTTAGTAATGACTTTTTGATTCAGATGGTGTGGGCGACCAGCAATAAGATTGGGTGTGCTATCAGAAGATGTTCAAACATGTATGTTTTTGGGAGTATGTGGAAACAGGCCACCTTTCTGGTTTGCAACTATTCTATCAAGTAAGAATTTTTACTGTATCCATCAATACAATATTTGAATCTTAAAAATGCAGGAACTAATGGTTGTTTTTATGAAGCAGATTTTGGGAAAATGAAAGAAAAGGGTTAATAACCAAACACGTACATGTTCTTCTTCTGTTCCAGGGGGAACTGGGTTGGAGAGGCTCCATATAAGACAGGGAAACCATGCTCTGCGTGTCCCTCAAGTTATGGAGGATCATGCAATAAAAACCAGTGTGACTCCAGATCAAAATCCAGAAGAAATGCAAGCGGTGTTAGAGGCTAACAGATAAAAAAAAATCCCTTAAAATAAAAAAATCTCTCTTAAAAAATAATAATAAATAAATAAGTTACACAATAGAAACCACTAAAATGTAAATTTCACAATGCAAATTATTCCGTGGTCATTTTAAACTGAACGGCATTTAAGTGCTGTAAAATGTCCAAGTAGTCAAATGTGTAAATGTCAAATTGCATCAACTGTTACTGTTTATTACCACCCCATAGGTGTCAAATTTAGTATTAGTATTTTTTATTACTTTATTAAGTTCTTTAATGTTTATCATTTGTTTGTTTTTTCAAGGCTATGGACTGTTTGCACTGTTTTGCTTATAATTTGTTTGTACTAAGTTGCATCGCAGTGACAATTCACATTGGGAGTAAAGCACTTTCGTTCTTTCATTATTATTATTTTGTCCTTTTTGTACAGGTAATACATTTTCTTTAGATTAGGAAAAGTCATATGTTCAGTGGTTTTCTAAGTTACTATCTTTTTGAAATGTCTATTGCACTCATGTCATACAGAAGACATGACTGCACTGTAAACACATTTGTCCTCATAAAAACTGTCCTTTTATTTACATTTTCTCTTATAACACAGACAGGCTGTTGCCAACACCTCCCCAGCAGGGACATAGCCAATAAGTTAAAAAAATAAATAAATTCAGCAAAGAATCATTTATAAATTTCAATAATATATTAGAGGCAATTCATATTATTAAGGTGTATGTGAGTAGCTGGTCAAGGATCAGTATTGAGAAGCAGAATGAAACCATCTTTTATCGCCTCATTAATGTGCTCAATCCATCTAAAAGAGACAGATCTGCTGTAAACCACAACTAAAAGGCTTTTAAAGCCATAAACGAAGCGCTGGGCCACTTTCTCTAGTCTATTGTATAGGGAATACTTTACCGGTGATTGAAATCATTCATCTGAATAAGAAAACATGAGTATATTGCAGTTTTTTTTTTTGGTTCCATAGGGCATCAATCAAAGTGTTGGCTTTTGAATATGCACATTCAAGTTTGGGTTCAGTACGTTTTTTTTTTTATTATTCAATTCTTTTATTCATCAAAGACCTAGTAATCTGATCAAAAGTGACAATAAATGCTGTTCTTTCGGATGCTCTATTCATCAGAGAATCACAGGTTCCACAAAAAAATATATACAAAAATGAAACCGTTTTCAACATTGATAATAATAACATTTTTATTGTTTTATTTATTTATTTTCCCCCACCAAATCAGCATGTTAGGATGAGTTGAAGGACAAATGAAAGATCATGTGACACTGAAGACTGGAGTAATAACTGCTGAAAATTCAGATCACAAATTACATTTTTAAATATATTGAAAAAGAAAAGTTATTTAAAAATTGTAATAATATTTCACAATATTATTGATTATATTCACAATATGTGTTTCTGTATTTTTGTACGTATTTAAGTATTATAAGTCAAATGTACACATAAATATTCTGCTTTGCACTCACAAATTACATTTTAAAATATATTAAAAAGGAAAACAGTTATTTGAACTTTTAATAACATTTCACAATATTACTAATAATATTCACTGTGTTTTTTTAAAGGAATGGTGCTGTATATAAGTATTACAAGGCAAATGGACACAAAGGTAATGAAGAATTTAGAGTGTAGGTGTTTCTTTACAAGTGGGGAAAATCTAAAGTTTCAAAACACTGACTTTCCCACGAAGCTGCTTAAAAGTGAAAGCAACATTAGACTTGTGTAATGCTACACATCTGTCAGAAAGCATCACATTATATTCATGGGAAAAGCTGTTGAAACTAACATAGCATCTGTTAAGAAAAAGGGGCAGCATATTCACTGAAGCATATGGCCTCATGAATGTCTCAAGCTGTATAAAATTAAAATTGGATGGCATTGGTCTAATGGTGAAGTGTCTAAGCTTCAAACACAAAGGCAAAGATGAAGAAGAGTTACAATTAACCCCCCGTCAGTCTGTTAAAGACAAACAATTACAGTATAGCGGGAATGAAAGCTGATATGAGGCATGTTGTCAAACAGTACATTTGGATTATTTCTTATTGAAGTAATGGGAATCGGACAAATCAGAAAAGCTAAATGAGTCTGTGTAAACCCTCCACTCCTTTCATTTCTCACACCCTTCCTTCTCCTCGTGCCTGACTAAACAAAACTCTTCCTACCCTAATGATTCATTCCCGAATATGGCAGGAGTTTTAAAAGATGCAGACTTTGAGAAATGGAGAAAAATTATAACAAACTGTCTATTTGACTTTCTATCATCCTGTTGCCATAGCTACAGCTGTCATATGGATTGGTCTCTATACAAGCCTGGTTACTGTTTAACCTCTCCACCCACATTTGCCCAGATTAGGAAAATCAATAAGATAACAGGAGTACCGGCCTTACCTTGCGCCAACAACACCTTCACCAGAAACACAGAGGACTGTGCAAAACTTATATGTCTTAATTCTTCATCATCTTTCACTCTTAATAGAGCAAAATCAGTAAAACGCAGTGGTGGGGAGCAGAAGAGACAACATGGTCAATGTGAACGCTCAGGGCAGTACCCATATGGATCCACCGCACGGTAAGTGCTCGGTCTCTTCCGACTGCTTTCAGGAAAAACATGGTGGGTGCTTTGGTGATTGTGGTGGAACCTGTTTTTGAATGGGCATGTCGTTTCTTGACATTTCATTCAGTATGGTAGCTATCATCGCCATTCGTGAGAGCTTGTGGTGCACGGCTGTAATTCGGGAGGTGTGGCATATTCATAATGACTGGTGAACAGGGCCTATTTGCAGGAGAAGATGAATAATGTGGACAGAATGGCTGAAGTTCCTCTTTTCTTGCTGGGATGGAATGACTCAAAGTACTCTGAATAAAGTGCTGGAACAAAGTGAGCATTAGAAAAGATCTCGAAAAATTAAAAGGCTTTAATCTTCAGACCAAACGTTAGTGATACAGTTAGTAAGTGCAGCTACAAAATAGGCCTAAAGCAGAACAATACACATGACGATATTGTATAGCAAAGTCATTTCACTTTATTTTTTTCTTTTATGATCAAGTTACTTAAAAATAATGAGTAGAATATTTGGGGTCAGTAAGTCAGTATTTTTTTTATGTTTTTGGAAACAGTCTTTTATGCTCAACCAGGCTGCATTTATTTGATAAAATATAGTAAAATAATAATATATAGTGAAATATTATTACAATTACAAAAACATTTTTATTTGAATATATTAAAAAAATGTAATTTATTCCTGTTATGGCAAAGCTGTATTTTTAGCAGCCATTATTCTTCAGTCTCACATGATCCTTCAGAAATCATTTTGATTTGGTGTTCATGTTGTGCTACTCAATATTTTTTGGAAACTGCGATACTTTTCCCCTCCAGGATTTGCAAAATGTGATAAATAGAAATACAAAAACAGCATTTATTTGAAAACAAAATCTTTTGTAGCATTATAAATACATGAACACTTATTGATTCATTGTTACACTATGCATTTTAAATTCAGTTATAATTATTTATGACAAGATATAATGTATTACAATGCACATTATGAATAATTATAATGCATTATAGCCTTTAATAACCCTTTATAATGCATTATACATAAGTAAAGTTTTACCAATGTCATTACTCTCACATTTGATCAATGTAATGTTTTCTCGCTGAATAAAACTTTTTTTTTTTCAAATATCTTACTGACAAACTTTTGAACAGTCATGTATGTTAAACATAATTATTATTTTAATTTATTTATTAGATTCATTATTATTTATATTAAATTATTAGGATTATAACATTTATATAATACTATCAAATTTAATTATATATAAGAATTTTATATAGGCTACCCTTGGAGTTTAAAACAATGGAGTTTAAAAGGTAGCTTTAGCACCGCTCTGTCTCATATAAATTGGCACTGGTTCTTCAGTCAATTTCTTGTAGGCCTCATATGAAATATAATATTTAACTATCAGTCATCATTAAGTCAACATCTCTTAGCATCTTCTAATACACTTTGTCAAACAATTACAATTATACTGTATATGTCAACCCTTGCATGAGTTTAGTGATTAATGGCCACACATTTGTCTTAGTAGAGCTCTAGTCTGTACTGAAACATTTACATTATTGTTGCATTTTCTTGGTGACTGTGATTAAGCAGCTTTGTGGTCCAGATCACTTCAGAGCTGCTGTAATGTGTTTTTTTGTGAACACAAAGAATGCACAAAGCAGTGCAGCAGTAAATCCTACTGCAAAAAATCATGTAGAAGAAAGCTCAAACAACATATTAGCATACATTAACATTATCTAACACAACATGAATTAAACATGAAAAATAACTTTACAGCATTTATTAAAGTAGTTTCATGTTAATTTCTACATACATACAAATTTTTAAAAAATTTGCATTTTTTAACAGTAAAACTGCTATATATTTGCAAGATTTAAAGCACTATGAACTAGTGTGAACAATGAACAATAGTATATTTCTAAATGAAAGAAACAGTTCACTCAAAAATTTATATTTGCTTAACATATACTCACCCTGCAGTCCATCCAAGATGTAGAAGAGTTCTTCACTGGAACAGATTTGGAGAAATTTAGCATTACATCACTTGCTCACCAATGGATCAACTGCAGTGAATGGGTGCCGTCAGAATGAGAGTCCAAACAGCTGATCAAAACATTACAGTAAATACAAAAAATATTAATAAATACTTAAGACAAGACAACTTTTTACTGGATAAAGCAGGAAATAGGACTAATTTTAAAATGAATTGTGTCGTGTGGATTACCTGCGGATTATTGTGATGCTTTTATCAACTGTTTGGACTCTCATTCTGACAGCACCCATTCACTGCAGAGAATCCGATGATGAGCAAGTGATGGAATACAAAATATCTGTTCTGATGAAGAAAAACTCATCCACATTTGAGATAAACTGAGGGTTAGTACATTTTCAGCGAATTTTCATTTTTGGGTGAACTATTCCTTTAATATTAAGCAAGATATAAAGTACGCAGTAAAAATGTAAATTTTCCATGCAACTGTAACTAGCTCTTCAACCTTTATTGCCTATTCATATAAATATGATGTTTTTTTTTTTTTTTTATTTGTAAAAATTCAAATCAAGGCTTATGTTACATTATAGCAGCATATGAGGAGTAACATGGAAGACTTGCTTGCCTGTTAGAACTTGCACAAATAGTTGACTTACAGGATTAAAAATTAAAACTAAAATTAAACACAAGAAGTGCTGTTGAACACTGGAACATTGTTTGCCCTGAAATGCTGAACTCCAGCTGTCAGCTCAGAGACTGTTCAAAGCCAGAACAAGCAGCCACCAAAGTCAACAAGCCACAATGGCACAAAGTGTTTGTAGAATTTCTATACTTTTAGCAACATTCCAAAGACTCTCTTCCGAGTCTGGAAGTATTTGTTCCTGATCAATAGTCACAGAAGTGTTTCTTTCTCCTGATCACAGAGCTCATCTCTGTTCAATATGCAGCAGAGTTTATAGAGCCTTTCAAACCTGGAATTAAGCAACCGAATCCACATTTAATATTCTGTACTTTAAAAGTGCTGCTTAACTCTTGACTTTTTATATTATATATTTTATTTATTTTATATGGATTTTTTATATTAGTGTAGTTGATAAATACGTTTGGGAAATTTCCATGTTCTATGCTATGCCATGCTATTCGCCACAATTATTAACAGCATTTTGCTAATTAATCTATAATAATTATGCATGCGCCTTTTAGCATTTTGCATATCAATAGAGAGACTAAACTAAAATTTAAAATGGAAATTAAAAAAATAATAATTTGTCACACTGCAGGACTATTTAAAATTAGGCCTTTTAAAAGATGAAAACAAATTGATATTTCCTTTTACATTCATATAAATCTTGATAAAAATAGATATGCATCAGCAACAAAGAATGCACATTGTTCACAACCAATGTACATGATATATACATCCTCTGTGCTATTTTATGCATCATGCAATGCATAAAAAAACGTAATCTTTCTTAGTTAACAGGATATACATGACTCAAAGATCGAAAATGTATAAATTGGAAATAGATTGGATGGTGGAAAGTGGGCGTTAAATATACTTCTGTTCAAACGTTTGACATCAGTAAAAAAATTAAAAAATTTTTTTTAAAGCAAGGACACCTTAAATAGATGAAAAGTGATAGTAAAGACATTTATAATGTTACAAAAAATCTACATCAAATAAATACTGAAACATTTACCATTAAGCATCACAACATTGATAATAAGAGATGTTCCTTGAGCAGCAAATCAGCATATTAGAATGATGTCTGAAGGATCACTGAAACAGACATCCGTTATTTTAAATTGTAACAATATTTCGCAATTTTACTCTCTTTACTGTACTCTGGGATGTAAATAAAAACATCCATGTTGAGCATTAAAGACTTCTTTCAAAAACATTTAAAAAATCTTCCCAACCCCATATTTTTGAATGGTATATACCAGATTGGCACCAGAACAATTCTGCTAAAACTCGGCTAAATTGGCTACTAGTTAGCACTCTCCAAAACTTCAGACAGCTAACTGTAAGTGATGTCTCCATACAATTCTCTCCTCAGCACCAGAAAACTGTTCAATTCAGAAGTATCTTCACTGACTAAACACTGGTGTCACACTCATCAAAATGACGAGTTAATGTTTCTCATCCAATTAAGGGAGAATCCAGGGGCCTCGGGAACAGGAAGTGCCAGATATGAATTATACGCTCTGTACACTTGACGCTATTAGGCCGTGCGCTCAAGCCCCCAATCAAATCTCATTGTGACAGGCATTAAGAGATTAGGTCGAGCTGCCGGTCAGCGTGTGTGAGAACGCTGGCTCCCTCACACACTCTCACACTCACAGAGACAAACTGAGGACTGAATGGATAGGTCATTGTGTGGAGGAGGCTGAGGAGCCGGGGGTCCCTGCCAGCTCTCAGGACCACAGACCAGTGCAGGATGTTTGAAGGACATGGCACGGGCCACTTCAACACCACACCAGGTACAGTGAGCGCAGATACACTGCCTCTTTTAGTACAGTTGAGGCTGAAGGTCCGGGAGGTAGATTATGAGAGTTTGTTTACATCCTAAATAGAGTGGCGTTCACCAAAAATCTGTGTGACTTCTATTTCGTTTGTTGACAAGATACAACATATAGGTAAAAAAAGACATGAAAAAGAGTTTACAAATAGTACAGGCACAATTTGGGCAGTAATGACACTTATTAGAACAATGATGATGAGACATACTGGAGCACAATGAAACATTTTAAAGCTAAAAGTTGTTGAATGTCTTCAAAACAGTCATATAGTGCAACATATTTGACTCAATTAGATCTAGAAATGTATGGTCAGGTCAGAGTGAGAAACCAAGTCTGGTTTGGGTTTACTTCTTTATGTCAGAATGGCATAGAATATTATGGAATGTTATGGAAATCTGACTATGCTTATTAAAATCACTCCAGACTTGAGATTTTTGGGGATTTCAATTGATAATTGGTGAAGTCCTTGTGGTTGTACTCAGGAAGGCCCAACACTAAGAACTTTGCAGATGTAATTGCAAGCTTTGTCCACATGAAGGAGCTGCGTAATAGTATACTTGACTGTGCACACTAAAAATGTTGGGACATTCTCACATGTGTTTCTTACAATATCTTTAGAAATCTTCAAATGTAATTTTATCTCCGTAGGAAAAACAATCCAAGGTTGATATCCAAATATATTATATAATCCAAAAGATTATATAAATGTGTCTATAAATATCAGGGTCACTATAGTTAACTAAAAACAAATCTAAAATTGAAACTATAAAAAAAAAATTTGTTAATTGAAATATAACAAATTATATATATATATATATATATATATATATATATATAAACAAAAACTACTGAAAATGGGCAAAACAACAAAATTACTAAAAGTTTAACTAAAAATTTAAATGAAAACAGAAAATATAAAAATTCTAAATAAATGGATTCAAAATAAAAACTATAATAGTATCTTAATGATATTAAAATAACACTAATCAAACTACTTGATTAGTGACCAAAGAATTTCACATTATAACATTTATTTGTTTTACATTTTGCAAAATTCTAAATTGTTCTATTTATTTACATTACACTTTAAATCAAATGTTCTCAGTTACTTGGAACCTACTCTATATGCCCATAATATCTGACTCCGGATGTAATCTAAAATATTAATAAACATGACACTTTTAATAGAATAATGACATAAGAAATGATCTGACAGTCTGATATCTGAGATTCTAAATGTGATGTATCATCACAGAAATGCCGACATCATCCAAGATTAATGAAAAACATGGGGGAAAAAAGGCTTCCAGATTCTTCTTGTGCCGAGTTTCCATTGTGTCGTTAAAGTGGTTAAACAATGATCACACTTGTAAAACACCATATTCATTATACAATTATGTACTTTGTTTTGTACTATCGTTATACTCAGACTGCAAGAAAATGACTTCAAAACAGCACAAATGAGTTAAAGTACACCAAGCCCCAGTACGTTAACTTATAACAAATTTAATAACCACTTAAGACTCTTTAGCTCCGATAAACTGGGGTAAAGTTAAACTTGTTTGGGTAAAATGTTCTCGAGAGCTGTACACTGTGATGAAAAGGTGATTGATTGATGATAACAAGTGAGTGATAACTGTCCACGCAGCATCACTCAGCCTGCAAATATGATTGGGTCAACAGCCAAAGCGATTCTCAGCAGAAAAACAGTTAATTATTGAAAGAGCCTTATCAGAAGATGTGATTGATTTACAAAGAGCATTGCTCTAAATGTTTATTGATGCAACCGTTTACTTGCATGATGTGCACAGAGCTACTTGAGCTTTTGTAATGTGATGAAAGTAACAAAGAAGCTTGATCATTTCAGTAGCGTAAGTTGTCAAATAGTATGTAATCCCATAAAGCTGGGATCACTCGATAAACAAGCAGGAAAGCCATCAGGACAAAATCCTATCAGTGGCTTTATCACGTTTCTGATGTAAAGCATGACATAGAAAGTGATAAGCAGAAAGTAACAGCAAAGGTTGGCTAAATGTGACCCTTTTTTGTCAAACATATTATTACCCAATGATTTTAAACTGGAATACTTTATGGAGGCTGTGCAATTTTAGGCCCTAGGGGTTTATGATTACCTAGACTACAAATACTGTGATGGGTGAGGACTATGGGAACTTCATAGATAACTGTCTCTGTTAATCGTTACGGAGGAGCATAAGAAAATTTTCTTACATTTTCTCTTAAGAAAATGGCTTTGAGTTATAAAGTATCTCTTTTAAAATCGAACACACTGCTAAAAAGACATTTACCTGACATAGTATCTAGGGTCACTATACAGTTAACTAAAACTGAAACTAAAACCATTAACAAACAAAAAAAAATATATATATATATATACAAACTGTATATAAACTGCTAAAAATGACAAAAACACTGCAAAATAAAATTGAAAATGAAATTGGAAATATTAATAATAATATTAATGATAAAATAATAAGTGTATCTTGATGCTAAAATAACACGGGCAGTATCAATTTTGTTTAAATGCACTGGAACTAAAATCAGAAAATTGACATTTAAATATGCAAACATTTAAATGAAGGAGAAAAAGGTTGTCATAAAAAAGAAAGTGAATTCAAGTTGTTTTGAAAATCTGTCCATTGTTTATAAGGCTTTAGGTCTTAACTGGCCATCATAAAGCCACTAGCAAACTCACGAATTGCATCTTGGCAGGATTCACAGGTTTTGCTGGTAAATTCTCTTCATTTGCACCTGAGTTATGTATTAAAAACTTAACAAGGCTTGAACATTTGTCAGAGCAACCGATCACATGACATGATTCTCAGCTTCTTGGTGCTGACAAGAGCTTGATTAGCAAATACTTTAAATTCTTAGTTTGATTATCATCAGCTAATTAAATATACAATTAAAATTGAATATGAACCATCAAAGAAAAAACAACAATGAAAATGTCCTAAATGCTAGGAATATTTAGCATCTGACCATCGATTTACACTCGACGGGCCTTTAAAAAAGCACCACAGCCTTATGAGACTAACAAAAAAAAAAAGTTTAGACAGAGGGGAGGGGCATTATCCACACTTATTAGCCCCTCCACACTTAGGATAAAGATACATTTCAGCAGTCTTACATTAGGTGTTATTAACACTGCAACAGTTTAAAACTACAAATAGATGTAAAAAAAAAAAAGAATTTCGAGTAAGCAAAAGTAAATATTTTGCCCCCAAAGGGCATGAGCCATGTGCGCTTGCAGCAGGTTACCAACCAATCTGTTGACAATCTGTTGTGTGTTCACTATGTCGCCATACTCACATATCTGTGCCATCTACCCCAGTCAATCTACAGTGGGTTTTCTACTGACCTCGAATGAGCTTTAGTAAGCATATTCCTGCCGTCTTCTCCCATTCTTATCAAATATTCAAAATCAAAAGAAAGCAACACACTGTGTTCACTATGTCGCCATACTCACATATCTGTGCCATCTACCCCAGTCAATCTACAGTGGGTTTTCTACTGACCTCGAATGAGCTTTAGTAAGCATATTCCTGCCGTCTTCTCCCATTCTTATCAAATATTCAAAATCAAAAGAAAGCAAAACACTCATATTCCCACGTAAAACACATTCCCAAGTACTCCAAGAGCATGTTATTCCTTGTAGGCCACCGGTTCCCACAACATGTGCATTTCACATCCACCTTTGTAGTGCTACTCGTTATTCCCATTTGGTCAGACAGGTGAAATGAAAAAGAGTCATTGGAGAGAAAGTACAAATAGGCAGTGGTTACAAATGGAGTTTGGTCAGTGGTCGGAGATCCTTATTGTGGAGATAGACAGGACTTTGTTCACAAACTGGAGTTTGAAGTTTCAAAGGGGAAAATAGGCAGAGGAGTTACATCAACCTTCTGACTTTTAGCCCCAGGCAGGCGGTATGGGTGACTGATTATAGGACATGACATCGCTGCCTCATATCACACAGAGAAGATGATCAGGGCAGGACATGTGCTATGTCATATTGTCTTCTGTGATGAGACTCAAAGTATGATTGCACCACGCTGCAGTGCGCATGTAAACGTCCGTCTTGCAACACTGATCAGATAATGGTGGAAAATGTTGACCGTTTGATGCAGGTTGCTTTGAATTTGTTGTACTGGTTCAATCTAAGGGTTCAGCCTCTGTGGCATCACTGAAAGAGTAAGAAACAGGTGCGGAAATGACAGGAGGAGAAATAAGTGGTGGGACTGTGCAAAAACATTACAAATATGAAAACCATGCAAAAGTATTACAGCTGTGTTGAGGACAAGGACAGTGTTAATCATTCATTGCATATCAGTTGGCGCATAAGAGATTTTTTTTAAATCAACGAAGATTAATACTATAAAATTAGAATCAATAATTAAAAATAAATTAAATTGAATTGCACAACAGGGAAAGTGTAAGTAACTGTTTTTATAAGAAAACATCTTCAATGCAGTCTGTCAATTAATATGCGGTCAAAATAAAATAAAATAAAATAATAAACCATTTAAAAGCATTATGGGTGTGACTGAACGTTATTAATTAAAAACAATGACAGTGTTTGATAATTCATTGCCTTAGACATTAGTTGGTACAAAACAGAATTTTCAAATCAATATGATTCATTTAAAAAATTATTATTGTTAATTAAATATAAATTAAATTTAATTGTATAAGAGGGAAAGTGTATAACTTGAATCAAGCAAGTTTTACAAGAACAAATCTTTCCGTTACACTCTCAATTAATACGCGGTCATAAAAGCAAAAATAAAATAAAATAATAAAATAAAATAATACATTCAAAAGCATTATGGGTGTGATTGAACGTTATTAATTAAAAACAATAATGACAATGTTTGATAATTCATTGCCTTAGACATTAGTTGGTGGAAAACAGATTTTTTAAATCAATATGATGAAAAAAATAT